AACATGGCCTGGTATCGATGCAAGCGTTCTTTGTACATCAAGTCCAAATGGACAAGGGACGTGTAAGGTAAAGGCATTTCTGTAGAGAAAGTATAAATGACTCTGTGCGCAATAATGTTTTTCTTTCCAAAGGGTGACTCCGGAGGTCCTCTTGCTGATGGAAATACACTCGTTGGACTAGTTTCTTTTGGAAAACCGTAAGTTGGAATCATTTCTGGATTGATTTAAGTGCATTCCAAAATGTTGTGCAAATTTTATTTGTAGCTGTGCTAAAGGGCTGCCAGACGGTTTTGCAAATGTGGCCCATTTGTCCAATTGGATCAAATCAACCGCAGTCTAAGTATTGGAATTTCCTTTACAAATGAGCTTTCGTGACGAATCAATAAAACGAATTCAAATGAACATAGAAACGCTTATGTTTACTTTTCTATCGACACTAAATTGATTACAGCAATCCCATTTTAATTATTTGAAAAGAATGTGCTAACCTTAGGTGAAGATCCACTGTAAAAGGCAAAAATAGCCAGAATGAACGTTCGCTGTGAGAACGAAAACAATGGAAGATGCACGCGACCAGTCTATGTATAACTGAATCAGCATTCGGCATAGATTCAGCGCAACTGATTGCACTATATTTCGTTACCATATTACTTGAAAATGCACCAATTTCAAATTACTAAATACCTTTAATGAGCGTTGATAACTTATTTACACCTCCAAAACATTTGAAACATTCAACCGATTCGAAATCGATCTACAGCAGCTTCGCTACACTATTCGACACATTTTAATTGGACTCGCACAGCTTTGCTATAAATTTAGGAACGTAACAGAAGATTTTCAGTAGTTTTTGTCAAGTCATTTGCATAACTATAAGTGAATTAACTCTGAAAATTTGTATAAAATGAAGGTGAAACTGTTGATTGTTCTATGTATTCTGAAATTATCATCATGTGACTTAGAATACAGTCTCAAAGGTGTGTAGTATGCATCACAAAGCTTTTCCAACCCGTGTGACATTGTGATAACTAACCATTTATAAACATAACTAATTTCGGAAATATTGACTGACTAGCCATATGGAAAATGACTGACTGGACTGTAACTTAAATCATCCAATAAGCGACTTTAGTTAATTGAGCAGATATTTTGTATGAAAAATAATCGACTACGATTAAGTTTTAGCCAGTAGTTTAATTTGGAATGTGCATGATTCTCTATTTCTCCAACCAGTCTCCAGGTGCCGCTTTATTTTTTTCGTTTGACGTTTCTTATTTGTTTGTACAGACGATCAGAGAGGCTGATTATAGTCACATATTTTCGAGACAATCACTCTTAACCAGTCAAAAGTCAGTGAAAAAGCCTGAAATTGGCTATGTTTACTCATTGTTAGTTGGCACATCTTCACATGGGAAAATATTCGAACTTTATCACATTTCAATACTAACGTAGATATCTCACCTCGTATCGTGGGTGGATCACCGGCTTATGATGGCCAAGCTCCATACCAGTGCTCCGTACAGAAAATACGAACCGGCTCTCACTTTTGTGGATGTGCAATTATATCTGATCGTTGGGTTGTTACAGCTGGGCATTGTATTGTGTAAAGAAAAAATCACCTAAAACCACTCAATAACAAAATTAAATCGGATTTTTTAAAATCATAATTTTAACACAGTTTCAGCGCAAATGATATTCAAATAAGAGTTGGATCGCACAAGAAGAGTTCGGGTGGTCAAGTCCTTAAGGTGTTAGAAACAATTAGACACCCGGAGTATAAAGAAGATGTACATTTGACCCGTAATGATATTGGTTTGATTCGTGTTCAAGGCAGCATCGAATTCAATAAAAAAGTGCAGCCAATCAATTATGATGGAGCAGAACCATCACCTGGCACTCAACTATTAGCTACCGGCTGGGGAATGCTTAACTTTCCGGGTGATTCACCAGAAGACCTGCAGCAGCTCAAAATAAAGGCCATTTCCTGTGAAGAGTGTCAAAAAACATGGCCTGGTATCGATGCAAGCGTTCTTTGTACATCAAGTCCAA